CAGTGTACGAACACGCAAGAAATAGCGTGAGGTTTCAGATTTGGTTCGAAGAAGGGTCTCTTTGTATTTAGGGCTTTATCTCTTTCGGTCTTAATTCTGAAAAATTGAAGCTTGATTTTGGTTTAAAGAGAGCAGAGATGTGTAGTTTGTCGGCGAATCTGTTGCTACCAACAAAGCTGAAACCAGCTTATTCAGACAGAAACTCACTCTTTGTCTCCACTAGAAGATCCAAGAGGAAGAATCAATCGATTGTTCCTGTAAGGATTTTCCTTTTTAATCATTTCGATAGAATCTTTTGTTTTGTGATTTGAAATTGAAGGAAATTTGATTTGAGTACTTGCAAATGATTCTTTAATCTAAGTAAGAGAATATGTTTTGATTCTGTACGGGGATTGATTCGATTTGGTGCAGATGGCAAGATTGTTTGGACCGGCGATATTCGAATCGTCGAAATTGAAAGTATTGTTTTTAGGGGTTGATGAGAAGAAGCATCCATCAACACTTCCAAGAACTTACACTCTTACTCACAGTGACATTACAGCTAAATTGACTCTAGCTATTTCTCATTCCATAAACAATTCTCAGGTAAAATTCCCACTCTTATGTTCTTAACATGTATACAAACACATAAACACATAGCAGTATATATGTACATGCCTCTGTTTATTGGTCTACTTCTCTGTGATGTATATAATTAGACTATATGGTCTCTGTGATTTGTCTATATTCACCAGAATCCTTCGCATTTTACGATCTTTAAACATAAGGGCTGTTGAAGAACACACTAAATTGTTTAGTTTAGGCTTTATGGTTTTAGCAATTTAGAAGCTGATGTATGTAAATTTTCTATGTAGTTGCAAGGATGGGCGAATAGGTTATACCGAGATGAAGTTGTGGCAGAATGGAAGAAAGTGAAAGGGAAAATGTCGCTTCACGTTCATTGTCACATAAGCGGTGGTCATTTTCTTTTAGATCTCTTTGCAAAGTTTCGATACTACATCTTTTGCAAAGAACTACCAGTGGTAAGTTTCCAGTGTCAAAAGAAACTTTGTATTGGCTTCATGTAAACAAATGTTGATTACTAATGATTATCTT